TGTATCTGCAGGCGGACGTTGAGCATCACGGAGGCCACGACGTAGAAGTAGGGGAAGTTCATGCGCAGCCGCCAGGCCAGGTGGAAGAAGGAGAGCAGCGTGCGCGTGAGCCCCTTGCAGAAGGCGCCGTCGGAGCCGCGGGCCGCCACCGAGCGCGACAGCCGCACCGCCGGGCCCGACAGGGCCGCCGCCGCCATCGGGCTGGCGGAGCTTCCCGTACCGTGCCCGGAGCCCCGGGCCCCCAGCCGGCTCCGCGGAACCACCGACCGACGGACAGAGGGACGCACGCGGGGGGAATCGGTGCGGGAGGCCGAATGGGCGGCCGCAGATGCGAGCTGCGCTGCGCGGAGGGCGCCCTCCTTCCCCTGCAGCGCTTGTGTCACAGTGATCGCTGGTGCCCCTTCGGGGGGGCTCACCATGCTAAGTTGCCCCCGGGCCAAGGGAGCCCCGCGGTAGGGGGCTTGGAGGGGCGCCCGATATCGTGGGCCCTGAGACGGGGAAGGGTGCACGGGGGAAAGATGGGGAACCGGAGTGGGGAGGGGCGCGCGGCTTACCCGGGAGACCTAACTTCCCGACCCCGGCGTTCCTTTTTCTTCTTAATTTAAAATTTTTAACGGAAGCAAAACGAAATTTCCGCAAAACATTGGAACATTTCTTTCATAAGCATGATCTTGAGCAGGTTAGAAGCGTGAACAGATTTCCTGTTCCCTCAAATCCCTCTAGGAACTTTTACAATCCTTAACTGAGCTAGTGCAAATATACAAAACCTACTAACTTTCTGAACTTTAACGTGTACGTTGTTTTAATGATTCAAGCAACCTTTTTATTTTTCTTTTACGACTTTAGTATTCTAGTGGGAAAAGTTATACAAACCAGTTTTTAGAAACTTTCAACAGCACACTTAGAACAATGGAAAGCAAATTCCCTGAGTAGCTTCACATTCCCCACCCCACCCCCGCCGTGAACTACTCTTCCGTTTCCTTTATATACCTCCTGACTTGGTAGGTTGCTTTTACCATGGCAATAAGGTACACCTACCTCCCTCTCTTTGATGACCAATTGTTACACCAATATACATGTTGACTAATAATGTTCAATAATTTATTTAACCAGTCCCCTAATGATGGACATTGTGAATGTTTCCAGTTTTCTTATGCCAAAAATTGTTGCAGTGAACATCCTTGTACACATGAGTTTACAAGCGGCAGAAGAGTATGAATAATGTGATCCCATCTTATAAAAAGTCACATAAACATATATATTTAGTGTTGGAGATAGTTTTACTAATAAATATGGTTGATCAAAAATTTTAGAGACCAGGGCTCTATACAACATTGAGCATTGATCTTGGATTTTTTTTCGCCACTATGATAGGCAATAATTACGTCTCATTATTCTTCTAATTTGCATTCATTTATCAATGAAGCTTAGCAACTTTTCTAAAGTTCTTAATTTTTCAATGTTGTTTCACTGATTGCTTGTAAAACATTATAAATACATATTATGAGAAGAGTAAAATTCCTAGGATCACAACCCCAAGAAAGAAAGACTATTAACAGGTCGGTATATGTTTTTACCAATTATTTACATATATTAATAAGCAAAGTATATATACATATATCACACACAAATCATAAAATAAAAATGGAATCATATAAACCTACTGCCCAGACAATTGCTTTTAAACATAGTGATATATCTTGCATATCTTTCTGTATTGATACCTTATGGGCTATGTATTATTCTTAATGGATGGCCAATAATTAACTGATAGTTTCAAATTTTTCATGATCATAAACGATTTTGAGATTTATATCCTTGCATGCATATCTTTGCACACTCCTCTATTTCCCTGGGATACAGTTTGAGAGGTGGAATTCTTGGATCAAAAGGTTTTCATCTGTTTAAGGATTTTGTTACAGATTGTCAAACTGCCTTCCACACAGCTTGTACTGATGTATCCATGAACACCCTCAACTTTCCTAATAATGAGTATTGAGGTTCTTTTAAATCTTGGACATTCTGATAGTTGGAAAAGATATCTCACTGTTTTAATGTGCATATTTTGATTACTAGCAAGGTTAGACATTATTTGTATGTGCATATATCTTTGCACATTTGTATGAAAGGAACTACTCTGTCAAAAGTTTTGCAGTCTTAATTTTAATCAGTATTTTCAATTCCCGTGTAAAAAAAGGTTGTAGCAATTTCCACTCTCTCAGGCAGTATATGAGGCTGTCGATTTCTCCACACCTTTGTGCATATTGTTATGCATTATTTTATTACTGCTAATCTAAAATAAAAGCATTATTCTAATTATTTTAATTTGCTTGTATTTGATTACTGTTGAGGCTGAGTGTTATGTTTATTGGTCGTTCATAGTGGTGTCAAAAGGAAGGAGGGCCAGGTGGAGCAGATGACTGGTGGGCAGTTGAAGGGCGTACAACTAACACACAGACTAAAGGGTCCTGGAGGGGGCCATCCCTCCAGGGATGGCATAGTGGTTAAGTTTGTATGCTCTGTTTCAGCGGTGGCCCAGGGTTTCGGGGGTTCAGATCCCGGCATGGACCTACACACCATTCATCAAGCCATGCTCTGGCGGCGTCCCACATACAAAAAATAGAGGAGGATTGGCAAAGATGTTAGCTCAGCAACAATCTTCCTCAAGCAAAAGGAGGAAGATTGGCAACAGATGTTAGCTCAGGGCCAGTATTCCTCACCAGAAAAAGGACCCACTGATTAAAAAATTAAAAATAAATAAAAAGGGTCCTGAAGACCCCAGGAGCAGTGGCAACAGTGAGGAAAAGGAGAGTTAGGCAGCTTTCCCCTCTCCATGTCTCGCTGCCCCTCAGGCTGTCCAGGTTCTGGCCACTTTGCTCATTTATGTATTAAAATTTTTGCCTAAGGCGGGCAGAACAGCACAAGCAGCATGAAAATGATAAAATTTCAACCATAGCTCTTTGGAGAAGCATAGATTAGACAAAACGGCCTGACATAATGCATTAAGTGAAGGAAATGCCTCCTCCTCCCTCACACCACACACCAAATATAAAATAGTGGTAATAGGCTGAAGTTATTGTCTTTGGGAAATTATACGAGTCTTCTGGCTCTTCTTTCCCACAATAGAGTGCATATACCTTGATTCTTCTATCTGAATCACCCACTCTCAATATATGTGGGAGGAATATATTTTTTAACTGCTACATTGGTCTAGAGATAGTAGATTTAAATTTAATCAGAGGCTTTTGTAATAGAAGACACTGAATTTAACACAGGTGTTTACCTTTCCAAAACAAATAGAAACAATTATAAAGAAGTGCAAAATAAATTCATTCATAAAATTAGTGGAAGGGGTGAAAATAAAGGACCGAAGAGCTTGAAAAACTTCTGGAATGAATGAAGATTGGCTCAAACTAAAGAATAAATCATAGTGGAGGGCACCACAGCCCAACAAATCTCAGGAAAAGCCTGCAGCAGAAGCAGGAGCCATTTTTGTGAAAGAAACACCCCCACTCTCCAGGTATGGAGAGTGGAATCAGGAGGATGACATAAAAGAGATGATCGTTTGAAAAAAAAAACTATTTGAAAAATGGCTGAATAAGTTCACTTCTACCACCTCCCAGCCCCCCCACCTAGTGGAGGAATTTATTTCCTGGGTCCTGAAGCAGTGTTTCTCTAAAGAAATTGAGTGATATGCCTAAAAAGGGCTAGGGCTAGGGCTCCAGAATGGGGGAGGAGGACTGATGCCTGTGATAGAGTGTAAAAATTACCACAAATGTTTCCCCTGCCTGAATCCATAACTTTGCATTGACATTGCAGATCCACTCCGCAAGAGGTGGCCTATTTTTTCTCGAATCTACCATGTGACTTGCTTTGGTCAATGAGACATTGGCAAAAACAGAGTGAGCAAAAGCTAGAAAAGTGTCTATGCATTGGGGCCTGCACTCTTGCTAGTCTTGGAAACCTACTGCCACCATGTGAACAAACTGGATGATGAGACTCATGCCCCAATCATCCTTGTAGCCCCAACTGAGGGCCAGCCAACGTGTATAAGTAGTGTCACCAAGATCACCAGCAGCAGCTGACCACAGACACATGAGAATTCAGCTGACACCAGGAGAAGAATAGCCCAGCTGAACTCAGCCCAAATTGCCAATTCCCAACGATTGTTCATTAAATGGTGGTTGTTTTAAGCCTCTAAGCTTTGAGTGGTTTGTTTTGCAGCAAGAGCTAACTGACAACCAGGACCCAGAGCAGAGCTATAGAGCAGAGTGGTAATCAAAATGGTCTGGTCCACAGTGATCTTTGGTGGTGATTACTTGATCATGGGGACCCTAGGACTGAAACAGAAGCATGACCCTTTTAACCAAAGAATTCTGGCAAACAGAAAGTTGGTTGGCTATGATAAGACTCTTCCAGCCCCTCAGGTCATATACCCAGAGTCCCTCGGATGAAGGAGAGACTGAGTACCATGAGAAAGGATGCTATGATAACGTTGTAATTATGTACTGTAAATTTTCCTAGCTATCCCCAAAAGGACCTGCAGCAATTTCCCAAGGTAACTGTTGAGAGGAGAAATACAAATCCACACACTCTCCAGGGATTATTGGACAATGGCTCTGATTTAACACTCATCCTGGGGACTCAGAGCAACACTATTGCCCACAGTGAAGGCTAATGAAGGTCAAATGATAAATGGAGTATTGGCCTAAATCCAACTCATGGTGGGGCCAGTGGGTATAGAAACTTACTCTGTGGTAATTTCCCCAGTTCCTGTGTTTACAATTGTAATAGATATAACCAGCAACTGGCAAAACACCCCAATGGGCTCCCTGACCTGTGGAGTGAGAATTCTTCTGTTAGGAAGGGCCAGGTGGAAGCCTGGAACCCAACTTCCCTTACACTTATAGCAGTGATAGCAAACTCATATATAGCACTTTTACGTGCCAGACACTCTTCCCAGCACTTTACATATATTAACACATTATTCCTCAAGACAGTGCTACCAGTGTAGGTACTATTATTGTACACATTTCATAGAAAAAGAAATTAAGGCATTGAAAGATTGAGTAATTTGCCCAAGGTCACTAGCTAGTAATTGGTGGAAGTGGAATTTAAGCCAGAAACTGGATCCAGAGTCCATGCTCTTAACCACTATGCTGTACTCTCAAAATAGTAAACCCAAACCAATACTGCA